CTGTTTAACCTGAATCTAATTAAACCTCTACCTCTAACTTCTAGCTTATAGAAAATACAGAGGCTGGGGGAATGGGTTAAACGACTCCAAAAAAGAAAAGTTGGACTACTCCAGAATGTGGGAAATTCCACAAGACAATATGACTGACCACTTCCACAAAGTGTCACTGAAAAGAGAGAAAAGTAAGAGGCAGGGGTAGGAAGTGAGGAAAAGGAAGAGGCTGCTGCACATTAAGAGACAAGCAGCATATCAAACAAATACAAAGTGTGGCAGTGTAGTCTTTGGTTAAATTCTGGGTGAGAAAAACAGTCTAAGGCAATTTTGGGTACAACTGGAAAATTTTTAATATGGAATTGGTATTATATAACATTTGGGAATTATATTGTTAATTTTGTTAGGTTTGATAACGGCATTATGATTAGCCATTAGGATACAACATTAACCCACAAAAGTCAGTTGTATGTCTATACAGGAACAATGAGCAATCAGAAAAGGAAATTACAAATAATTCCATTTATAATAGCATCAAAGAGAATAAAATACTTAGAAATTAACCAAAGAGGTGAAAGATTTGTTCAATGAAAACTACAAAACGCTGCTGAAAGAAATTAGAGAAAAGTAAATGGAAACACATCTCATGTTCGTGAATTGGAAGACAATACTGTTCAGATATCAATACTACTCAAAGTGACCTATAGGTCACAGAATTAAAGCAATCACTATCAAAACTCCAATAACATTTTTTGCAGAAATAGAAAAACCCATCTTAAAACTCACATGGAATCTGAAGGGACCCCGAATAACTAAAACAATCTTGAAAAGCTCCAGGACTCACATTTACTGATTTCGAAACTTACTACAAAGCTACAGTAATCAAAACAGTGTGGTACTGGCATGAAGACATCCACTTTAAGACCAACGCAATAGAATAGAGAGCCCAGAAGAATATCCTCACATATATGGTCAAATGCTATTTGACAAGGGTACCAAGACCATTCAATGGGGAAAAAAGTGTCTTTTCAACAAATGATGCTGGGAAAAAATGGTTATCCACGTGAAAAAGAATGAAGTTGGACCCTTACCTAACACCATAAACAAAAATTAACTCAAAATAGGTGAAAGATCTAAATGTAAGTCACAAAACTATAAAACTCTTAAAAGAAAACATAAGGCAAGAGCTTTATGATGTTGGCAATGATTTCTTGGATATGACACCAAAGGCACAGGCAACAAAAGAAAAAACAAATTGGGCTTAATGAAAATTTTAAAATTTTGTCCATCAAAAGATAGTATCAATGAGCAAAAAAGGCAACCCATAGAATGGAAGAAAATATTTACAAATCATATATCTGATAAGGGATTAATATTTAGAATATAGAGAGAACGCCTAAAACTCAACAACAAAAAGACAACCCAACTCAAAAATGGGCAAAGGGCTTGAACATACATTTCTTCAAAGAAGATATACAGATGGCCAATAAGCACATGAAAAATGGTCAATGCTACTAATCATTAAGCACATGCAAATCAAAACTACAATAAGGGCCAGCTGCATTATTAAGTGGTTAAGTTCGATGTGCTCCACTTCAGCAGTCTGGGTTCAGTTCCCAGGCGCAGACCTACACCACTCCTCTGTCAGTAGCCATGCTGTCACAGCAGCTCACATACAAAAAGAGGAAGACTGGCAACAGATGATAGCTCAGGGCAAACCTTTCTCAGCAAAAACAAAACAAAACAACTACAATGAGAAATTTCCTCACACTGATCAGGATGGTTACTATAAAAAAAAAACAAAAAGAAAATAACAAGTGTTGGCAAGGATGTGGAGCAACTGTACACTTGCTTGCACACTGTTTGTGGAAATGTAAAAGGGTGCAGCTGCTGCGGAAAAGAGTACAGCAGTTCCTCAAAACGTTAAAACTAGAATGACGGCATGACCCAGCAATTCCATCTCTGGGTATATCCCCAAAAGAATTAAAAGCGAGGTCTTGAAGAGATATTTGTACACTCATGTTCATAGCAGCATTATTTAACAATAGCTAAAAGATGGAAACATCTCAAGTGTCGATCTACAGATGAATGAATAAGCAAAATGTGGTTTATACACACAATGGAACGTTATTCAGCCTTAAAAAGGAAGGAGAAACTGACATATGCTACAACATGGATGAACTTTGAGGACATTATGCTAAGTGAAATATGCCAATCACAAAAAGACCCGTACTGCATGATCCCACTTCTATGAGCTACTTAGAGTGTCAAAATCAGAGAGGGCAGAATGGTGGCTGCCAGGGGCTGAGGGAGGGGAATGGAGACTTCTTGACTGACGGGTATAAAGTTTCCATTTCACAAAATGAACAGAGTTGTGGAGATGGGAGGTAGTAATGGTTTACAAAATCATGAATGTGTTTCATACCACTGAACTGTACACTTAAAAATGGTTAAGATGGTAAATTTTACATTATGTGTATTTTACCAGAAAAAAAAAATACCAAAAGTTTTCCTAACCAGTTAGAAAAAAATGGAAGGAAAGATTCAACTTATAATAAGAAAGATAAAACTACCTACAGGAGTGGGGGTTGGGATGGGTGGGTAAGAAATGTGTAACAGTCATATGAAGAAGATGAATTCTACTGGGGGACATTAAAACAAACTTGAACCACTGAAAAGCAAAAGCTTGTACTTAGAAAAACCCATTCTTTTAAATATCGTTTTTCTCTCAATAATCTTTAAATTCAATGCAATGTCAATTAAAATACTAGTGGATTCTTTTTTTGGTAACTTGACAAAATAATCCAAAATGAGGGGAAATTAGCTCTATTAGATATTAAAATTGTTTGTAACTAGAAAAGTAGAGATCACTGGAATAGAATAAAATGCCAAGATTTAGATGTAGACATTTTGGGGGAGTTTATTACATGATAATGACAGGATTTCAAATCTCAAGAGGCTGTTAAGCCACATGCCTAGTCATTTGGAATACAAGCAAAGCTGAGTTCTTACCTCTCTCTTCCCTTAAACACAAAGTAATTCTAGATGGGCTAAAGATTTAAGCATAAAAAATAAAAACATAAAAGCTCTAAGAGAAAATATAGATAATGCAAAATTTTTCATTCAGCATGTGGAAAATTCTATATACAAAACACAAAAGTGAGACACCATAAAGAAAAAGACTGATTAAAATTTTTTAAATCCTATATGAAAAGTATCTACAACATATATAATAAACCGGCCAACACCCTCGTGCTTCTGGTATTACTTATCTATCCCTCTCCCTTTACCCCCCACCCCACTCTCCATGCCCATTCTACTATTTCCTAGTAAAAAGATCTCACGAACCACTGCTACTAAGTTACTTCATATGTAAAATGCAGATGAGTTTTCCTAACTTTTTTCTGAGTTATTTTTAGGGATTAAAATGAGATGGTGCAGGTAGGAGGTGACACATAGTCAGCAGTGAATAAATAACTGCTGCTAGTTAGATGCTAAATCATCCTTGTGCATACACAAGTTTTAATATTTTATCCCCATGTTTAAATAGTTCTACTATATAGTACATATTTTTTCTCCATTTGTGTCTTTTACTAAAATTTGTCTTAAATTCTTTTTAAAAGCAGGCAAGATATTAAAAAATAAATGTTAATGGAGCAAGAATACAGTAGGCACTGCTGTTCCACATGCATTCCTTGTTACAGGAAAGAATTAGTAGAAAATAGACATTATTATACTGAACAAGCAAGGGTTGAGCTCACTTAGCGAAGGGGGTGGTTTCACACAGCTACTCCCACACTCAATTATTGCTGGGACGGGTTTGTTTTCCAGTGAATCTTGATGATGGAGAACAAACCTTGGAGAAACACTGATTAGACCCCACACAAGCAAATAACTAAAAGCACAGCATCTTGGTTTTTACCAAAGGGAAAAAGATGTGTTTTCTATGAATGTACGCCTACTTGTTGTTCTGGACACACATGTCCAAGAAGACATCAAAGTACGTGCCACACAGACTGGGAAATGCTACATCCAGCTGTACCTGAGGTACAAACAGCTGGTCTCAGTTACTTTCATCTCTCCTGCACCACCTTCCACTTCCCAACTCCCTTACCACACCCATCCACTGCAACAAAGGTAAGAAAGGAAAAGGGCAAAAAACATACTTTTCTCGGGAAATCATACATTGTCAAGTAACATCTGGTCAAAACTCTTAAAAGTTACTCCTACTGTGACCTTTCTACATTTTCTTTTTTCTTCCCTCTCATCCTACCCTTGCTCTGATCCTTCCCCATTTATCCTGTACCCAGATCTGCTATTACCACATTCACACTCTACATGTAATCACTTGTATGAATTCTGTCTTTCCTGTGTACACCTGACAAGAAGAAGCACGTTTATCTTTTCCGTTGTTAAACCCCTTCTTGCACAGCGCCTAACAGAGAATCTAATAGGAGGTGCTGGAAGATATTTTAAAATAAATGAATAAAATATATTATCTATGCTGCAACATACTGCAAAGAGCACTGGATTAGTGGTCAGAAAACTTGGACGCTGGTGTCAATAGTACTATCTACTGCTTCTGTAGCTTCACATTTAAGCACTGAAGTATCAGTTTCCTCCTATAAAATTGGACCTTTACTTTGCATATGGTTTTACAAAATGAGATGATGAAAATAAAACATACTTAATGTTATGCTAGTTTAAAGCGCTAGCCATGGTTACTTCTGTTGAACAATGTTATTAGTCAAGCAGCTTTCTAAATTTAAATAGGGATGGCACAGTTATTCCATTAGGAGAGGCGGATTTCATTAATGTAGGTAGATTTAATTAGTTTATTTGCTTTTTCTTAAAATAATAAAGGCATAAGCAGCTGGTAAGATACTGATTTATATCATTACAAGTATGTACAATACTTATGTTTTGAAACAGAAATGGCCCATGTTAATCGCGCTGTGTTTTCCAACGTCAATTATGATTTAGATGTAAAGTGGCTGGATATTTCTTACCAGGCTCTGGAAGGTCTAATTTCGCCCGCTTTAGTTCTGCCATAGAAATCTGAAGTTGCTCTATTACAAAGTCATCTTCAAAGAAAAAATCCTTTGCCAGGGTCTCCTGAAGAAATTCTACAAGTTCTTCCATAGACAATTTCATTAGATGTTCTAAGAAAGGATGAGAGAAATAAAAATGCTAAGTCATTTTTAAATTTTGAGTTTGTGAAATTAGTTTTAGTGAAAAAATTCAAATTACAGATACAAAGCAGAAAGTAAAAATCAGCTGAGTTCCCATTAGTTACTGCCCTACAAGCAGATGTGTGCACCCATGTATCAATTTAAAAAATAAATCCTATTTTCCATGTTAGTCACCTCCTTGTTTTTTCCCCACTCAATAATGCATATCGCTGATATCTCTACTTCAACAAATATGACTTTACACCATCATTATTAATAACTGTATAAGAGTCCATTGTAAGTATGCACTACAATTTACTTAGTCTTCTAATACTGGATATCTAGGTTGTTACTAATTTTTTTTACTATTTAAAACCACTGTGTGATGAATCTCTAGTAATAATGTCTCTAAATATTGTTAAGGCAATCAGGGAGAAAACAAGAAAAACATCTTGGGAGCTTCAGCTCACTATCGGTTAAGGTGCCCAGGCAGTTTCTGAACTTCATCTAAGTCCTTGGACTTTGTCTTCCTAACCAGGAAAAAAAACACAGCAGCGGACAGATTCTTTTTCCACAGCTTATTTAGTCTGATGATACAGTAGGATATAAAGTATTCGTTATACTTAAAGCTTATTTACAAAAGGGGAAGAAACTTTTCACTTGTCAAAATTAATCAAAAGTCATATAAATAAAACATAATTTAAGAGGGGGAACAGAACCATGGAGAAATATAACATCATGTTTCCACTTTGTCACTGTTTAGGGAACATTAAACCATTAAGTATATATCTTTATAAAAAGTATACTCTTGTTCTATATCTTGGTCAATTCATAATCCAGAAGAGGGGGGAAAGGGAGCGGAAGGGGGTAGGGGGAGGGGAGAGGGGAAGGGGGGGAGAGAGAGACAGAGAGAGAGAGAGAGATACAGAGAGAGAGAGAGAGAGAGAGAGAGAGATAGAAGGAGGGCGGAGGGAGGGAGGGAGAGGGAAGGAGAGAGATTGATTGATTCCCTGTGGTTACATGACAGACCCTAAGTCCTGGGAGATGATTCATAGTCAAATGTTTTGTATTTGGAGCTCTGCTTTGTGTGTTGGGGGAGTAAGGACTGGGTGTAAGAGAAATGAACCACAAGACTTCTGAGTCCTTTTCTTTCAGAGTAAACAATACAAATGTGATTTTAAAGGGAGTTTTCATTTCTATCTCAAGTTTGGATAAGCTCAAGTCCATGCTTTTCAAGTAAGCAATCAAACAATCTTATATTAAAGTACCTGACAGGTACTCAGAACAATGCGAAGCACAGCAGGGAGAAAAACTGCAAAACATGTCCCCAGTGACTCAATTAACTTCTCATTTAGCTGAGAAGCTGAACAGACGAGTCACTCAAGAACAACAGAAGAGAGTAATCAGTGAATGTGAAACGGCGTTGTATGACCCAGATTTGAAGTGCTATACGAAGTCCCAAAGCTTTCAACGATTCTCTTCTCCATATAGTTACAAGAGGAGTTACTATGAGGAGTTGTAATTTTAATGGGTGAACTGAGACTTTATGATGAATAAAGTTCTTCATATTCGTGAAGAAAAAAACCTCTTATTTCTTGACTTTTAGAGTAAGGCACAGCACATCAAATTTACAGAGCCCTTGAAATACGACAGCTGGAGACTTTTTAAAGGCTTGTTGCATTTAGGCGATGAGAGACATTGACCGTACTTGCCCCAGAGGCCACAATGCTGTCAAGCAGAGAGAGGAGCTGGAGGTTGCCCATCTCTGGTCTACAGCTTGGAGCTGGATGCTTTCTTCCGGATGAAGGAAACAGTAATGGAAAATGTGCTCTCTAGACCTTTTAACTAAGGGGGCTAGTTTCTTTGGTCTCTCTCTTCTCCTATGACAAACCTGAGATTCAGATTGGTAACAAGGAATAGGGAGTCCCAGTGGAAACAAGTCCTTAGCAAGAATAATATTATTGGTCAACCAACACATTGAATTTTACTGCTTAAGCACGAACTGAAACTGATATAGAGACCTTTGCAATGTAGTAAGTTTCTAGTCATGAGAAAGAACGAATGAAAGTAAATTACCAACTCAAGATAATTTCTTCAGTGATCTTCAAGAATTTTTTAAAACCAGTACAAAAAGGAAATGAATTTCCAGTAGGGTGGGGAATGAGAAATCAGAGTTAAAATAAGCCTTGGTTTTTTTGGAAATCTTTATAGTTAAACATTTTCTTACTTTTGTGTAATTTTAAGATTGTGTAAGACATAGCAGTAAGAACTCGTTCTCCTTCAAAGATGTAGATATCCCATATTCTCAGGTTTAGTGTAAAGGGAGTCTATAATTAAAAACAAAACAGAAATAGGATGAACAGTTTGCTCTTGTCTGGTATTTATAATTTTATGAGGGGGTTTTGTAAATAACTACTCACACGATCGAGGAAACACTGAAAAAACCATTTCATTGTGTAAAAACTTGTGTAGATTTCTTGCGAATCCTGAAAAAACAAAGACTTCACAATTTCTGGATTGTAGCAAACAAAATATGACAATATAATACTAAAAGTTAGGATGGCTGTTGGAGGTAGCTGTCACAGCTAAACATAAAATCATTTTGTTATAAATCTTTTCAATGCTAGAGTATTTCTATTTTTTCTCTTCTTACTATTCCCTCTTTCTCCCTCAATTTTACTTTTGAAAATCACTCCAAGAATAAATACTTCTTATATATGACTATAATACAACATTTGATTCTCCTTAATATATTTTACAGTGAAGTATCTTTGCTTTACTAAACATCTGTGTTTTATAGTAGAGCATATATATACGGTTCACTAAGGATGAGTTTGACCTTAAAATATTTTTTGTGCAATAAAAAAACCTCCACAATTACTGAGAAATCATCTGTCTTTAAAAACTGTATTGTTGGTAAATATCATCTTCAAAGAAGTCGTTTGATTCTATAAGTTAGAGCTGTGATAGTTCATCAATACTAAATTTCACAAATCTAATGCAACTGGGAATTATAACTGCATAGTAAATGAAACGGACAACACTAGAAATCAATAAGGTAACTGAGACCAAAAGCTGCACTCAATTTATTCTTGGTATAAGTGGGTGTAAGTCAATGTCACATCTACCTACCAGGTGTTGCTTAAGCTTGGACAGAAATTTATTCAGTATTTTTTCATGATGTTCTTGAAATCTCAAGAGTTTGGGAAAACCTTGGACAAAAAAGCCTAGAATACAAACATAAAAACAATAGTTCATAAACAATACCAATAAAAACCCCTATTTTAAAACGCAACATATTTTTCATTTTTAAATGTCAACAAACAACACGTTGTTTACAACAACAAAAAGTCCAGTAGTTACCAAAATATTTTTCCTCCCCATCAAGGAAATAATTGTGTATAAGCTTTGGGTAATGAAACTTGTAGTCTAGTATTTGTTTGCTAAATGTTTCCTATAACCTTGTAAAAATAGGAAAGAGGACAGAATATTTCTGAATTAAAATGGAAACAAAGACGTTAAGAAAAAGTGAAACTGAAGCCACTTATTAGGATTATCTGTTCTTTCAAAGTACCTTACAGCATTTCTTAAAAGTGCAAATTTTTTATAGGTTATTCTAATCTTGATTACTTGTCATTTTATAGTTAATACATTAGATAAACATTATTTTCAAATTTACTCTAGTAATTTCATTAGTATGATACTTCCAAAGTTGTTAGCACTTTTAAATCCTTTCTATAGGTGATATTTAACATCAGTTAAAACATACTGGTACTGTATGATCAAGTTATATCAAAAACTGTATTTATTCCAACTGATTATACAGTATAACCTATAAGATTTCTAGGAACTAATTGTAAACGGTAAGTTAATATTAATTTTATGTATTTAACTCACGGAACTTTACACCTATTTTTATTCATAAGTTTCCTTTCAGATATTCTATACAATCCATTAAAAATGACATATACTCAATGGATTTATGATTTCTCCGCATTAGTTATTTCCAACCTGGGTTCTATGTAACTGTGAAATATGTTAATAGATGTTCTATGTTTAAAAAGAAGAATCCAGGAGAAATATTGTATGTTATATATGCCCTACTTGCATATTCATGATGCATAAGAGATTCCTAATATTTTTAAGTTGTTTTATAGACTAAAGGAACTTAGTGGGTTTTTTGTTTGTTTAATTCAGTCCCCTAGACTTACTTGATCTTGGAGTCCCTCTTTTCCGCCACAGAATATCTGTTTCCAAAGAGTGAAACCATGTTCCTTCAAGAACCAAGGAACACACTGTTGGGAAACGCTGCCTTAAAATCTTTGGGGAAGGACTATTTCTTAACTAATTTTCAGTTTTCTAAGGTGTGCGTGTAAAAATTTCCAGAGGCAGAGATTCTATTCCTCCCTTAGGAACATTCTCCAGTGAAATAATTTCATTTAAAAAAAATCTCTATTTCTCTATCTGTGCCACTTTCACGCTCAATTTGATAGGAATGGGAATTGGAAGAATTTCAAGAAAAAGTCTGATTTTGAAAAAGGCAATGCCCCTCAATAATAAACACTAGCTCAAGGATGCCAGGATACCTAACATTTCTCCACTTTTCAGTGATATCCCAGAATTGCTATTTTAAATCTCATTTTCTTCAGCCCTGATTTTATTCTATACATTTGTAAGTGATACCACTTTCATTTGGAGATGCAAAGAACTGAGGTAACATTTAGTTACAAAATTTCATAGGCAGACTTAGAAACAAATATTTCTAAGTACAAACTTGCCCATAATAATGACCTAAACTGCACTGTAACTGTAAATGATAGGATAGTAAAATTAATATTGCTTTACAGATTAAACTGGTGACAGTAATTGCTGAAAGTGAGCTATCAGGTATGTTTAAAAGAAATGAGCAGTCTTCTGCATAATTACATACTACTTAAATTATAATATTCCATTGTACTTCAACATATATCAGCACACCATCCTATGGTAAAGCAAAATAAAGATGGAAAAGAATTATTTTTCTTCAAGATGCCTTTTTAAATGATACTGTCTACTGGATGGCAGTTCAATATAATGTGTCTTACTTTTGGACTCTATTTATGGCATTGAAAGGGTCCAGTGAGCAGACAGATAGTATTTATTAAAAAGAATTTGCAAGGAACACTGAGGGAGTTTGCCAAATGCAAACACACATGCACATACCACACACGCACATACAATATCACCACAAAAACCACATGGTAAGAATGTGAGGGGTTTTTTTTTTTTTGAGGAAGATTAGCCCTGAGCTAGCATCTGCCACCAATCCTCCTCTTTTTGCTGAGGAAGACTGGCCCTGAGTTAACATCCGTGCCCACCTTCCTCTACTTTGTATGTGGGATACCTGCCACAGCATCACTTGATAAGCAGTGCATAGGTCTGCGCCCAGGATCTGAACCAACGAACCCCAGGCAGCTGAAGTGGAGCGAACTTAACCACTGTGCCTCTAGGCTGACCCCGAATGTAAGATTTAATAAACTATGGTCATAATTTTGAAAATGTTAAAATATCACTTTAAACATGTGGCAGGTTCCCCACCCCATAAAGCTTAACTATTCACAAACAGAACTTACATGACCCACTCTTAAGAGTGATTAGTGTTAAAATTTGTTTTTCATTTGGTATTATCACATGGATGGCACTGGGAAAATAATTTTGCATTATATAGACAAATGCCATTTTTATTTCCAAGAAAAGCTGCAACCAAACTCTTTAAAATAAAGTTTATTGGATATGCTTTGCAAACATAAGGAAAAGGTTATTAAAAACAATCTTCTAATCTGAAAAACAAAAAATTATGCAAGCTATGAAATATTAAATAATAAAGTGCCCAGAACATTTTATCAGCCTTTTATTGTACAATGGATATCAATTTAATGGCTGAGAGAACTAAAACATACTTGAAATACAAAACTACTTTATTATGTACCTTTCCTTTAAACGGCTAAATGTCATTTCTCAACTATATTCCTTGACAAAGACTTACACATCCCAATATCCAGTCACTAGTAACCATTTCCTGAAATAACTGCATGACTGTCTAAACATTTTGATAAAAAAAATCTATCTTTTATTTCTCCAAACAGAGCTTTTCCTAAATTCCTCCAAACTTAAATTTGTTTCTCCCGACTGCGGGCAAGTAAGGAAAGAATTTTAAACTGCCAACAGTATACTTTGGGGTAAACACAAAGGAATATAAATGTGAACAGACAAGTTTGGAGAAGCTGAATAACGAAGAATGGAATGAGAAATTAGTAACAAATGCTAATTAACTGAGAAGCCCCTAGGCATTAAGTTTTGTACTTAGCTTCACCAAGCGTCACCCAAAGTTTGACTGTACTTAGCTTCACCAAGCGTCACCCAAAGTTTGACTGTGTAGTAACTGACCTTTGTCCCCCTCCTTGGTTTACTGTTTACGACAACCTGCGGGGTTTTCTTACCATGCATGGCATGTTTGGGGCCCGAGAATAGTTTGACCAGGGCCCAGAAGGCATCTTCTTCATTCATATACATAAGGAGTAATGCTGTGATCTGGCTCATGCCCTGACAGTATCCAACTTCCTAAAGAGTAAAGGAGAACAAAGAAACCGGGAGTTTTCAGACCAAGTTATATGTATACACACATATAAAAAACGGAAATAAAATAATCAGAAAATGCCTAAACACATTATTTAATGGGCAATTCTACAGATAAATATTACAATCTTTACAGCATTGAGCTACATACTATAAAAGAATAACTTTGTGTTCAAGAATAAATGTAGAAGTGTGGACAAAGTCTAAACCTACATGTATTTTTAGTGTCCCCTGTTCAATACCATTATACCTTCTGTAAAGAGCCCTAATAGTTTGTTTTTCTTTTTTACGTATGATTCTCAACTCAACATTCCTGTTCTTTGCTCAGATGCTGGCAAATCTCTCTCCTCCTACAGTGTCCAATTTGCTGTCCTGTCTCCTCTAGGTTTCTGGACCCTTATATAGACACATTTTGGGATACCCATCCAGCCCCTTCTCTGAGAACTGCCCACTCTCTCCATATTCCCTGCTTATAACTGGCCTTAGGGACTCAATGTTTCTCCCATATGAACCAAAGCTGATGGAGTGGAAGAGGACACCTGACCCCAGGGGCACAATTAATTGGCTGCCCTGACTAATCAGATACTCTCCCTAGGAAATCTGAATACAGCCACAGAGACAGTAATCAGAATGGTCACGGTGAGTCTATAGGTGCAATTTTAGCCACGGAAAAACCCATAAGTAGGCAAAGAAAGCAATCTGGAGAGAGAAACAGTGGAACAAACAGTTAACAGAGATAATCAGAGTTACCATGTGGCGAGAGTAGAAGAGAGAGAAAGTGTAGCTATCTTTCTCACTTAAGGCTTCTCACTTTACAGCTCCAATTTCCATGAGGTTCGACTATCTGAGCAGTCCCTTTAATAAACTCCTTTTTAACTTGCTCTAGTTTAAGTGAATTTCTTGCAACTTAAAGGTTTTAATTACAACAGAAATTATACATCCCAAGGTTCAAGGTTGTCTTCCCTGGAACCTAGTCAAGAAGTATTTCTTTAACATGCATATTAGATTCAACACTAATTGATTTTTCCCCAAATTATCATCTCCCCCAAAGTGATAAATACCCTAGGAACAACATGTGCTATCACCAAGAAGTTTGGTTTAGCCTACTCCTGGGGATAGCCAGTGGGTACATACAGTATCCTGTTTGGACCTCACTGAGTGAATAAAATGTCACCTTGAAAGGCAACCTCCCAGGAGTAATGAAGAGAGATCAAAAGTCAAGCAAAAATCGATCTAGCCGCCAACTTCCTGTCCTTCTAATCCTGCTCATTCCCAGTGCTTTGCTTAAAATAGAAACAAACAAACAATACACAAAACATAACAAAATAAAACAATCTAGAGAAAGAGAAAAGAGGTGACAGTCACTGGCATACTGTGGTTTTTTCCGCTTCCAAAGCAGCTCTGCTCTCACACCCCAGGGTTACACAGGAGCCTTGAAAAGATCCAGAGAGTCAGAGACTGCAGAGACCATTGGGTCCTGAGACGAAGAGATGTGGCCCCTAAGGGCCTTGTTGGAGAGGGAGCACCCAAAGAGTTTTTCCAGTTCCTCAGAATACAACTCAGAGAGCTGTGGGTAAGCATGCACCAACTTACCGTATTATAAATAGAATATGCAGCAAGAACATGGAACAGGGATTGTTGCCTAGAGAAAAGAAATTTACATTGAACACAATTTATTTCATGTTTAAAATTACAAACAAAAAAATAAATGACATGTTGCTTAGATCATAAAGAGATAATACAAATAATACTACTACTGTAATAAAGAAATGATCCCAAGCTCAAACTTAAACAATGCTGCAAATGGTCTAAATTTAAGGCTAGATAATATTCATTCTGATATAAAAAATTTACACCAAAAAACATAAAGGGCTTCACAAGCTCTTAAATTTGTTGCCTTCTTTCACTGAACTAGTCTCACTATAAAATCATCCCCATGGGAACAGCTAGCTTGATGGAACTATGGAATGGCCTTTTGAAGCCTCAGTTACAGAGCCGGCTGGGTGCCACAACTTGCAGGGCTGGGACAATGTTCTCCAGGAGGCTGTGTATGCTCTCCATCAGCCTCCAATATCTGGCGCTGTCTCTCCCAGAGCCAGGTTTCAGGGGTCCAAGATTCAAGGGGAGCAAATGAGAGTGGCATCACTCACTATCGTCCCTGGTAGTCCACTAGCAAAATGTTTGTTTCCTGTCCCATCAACCTTAGGCTCTGCTGGTCTAGAGGCGTTAGTTCCCAAGGGAGGAATGTTTCTCCCAGGAGACACAGCAACGACTCCACTGTGCTGCAAGTTGAGACTGTCACCCAACCACTTCGGGCTCCTCATGCCTCTGAATCAACAGGCAAAGAAGGAGGTATCTGCACCGGCCAGAGTGATTGCTCCTGATTACTAAGGGAAAACTGAGTTGCTACTACACAAGGGATGCAAAGAAGAGTATGTCTAGAACACAGGAGAATACTTAGGGTATCTCAGAATAACTATCAGAATAACTAAGCCTTGTGATTAAAGTCAATAGAAAACTACAACAATCTAATTCAGGCAGGACTGCTAATGGTCCAGAGCCTTCAGGAATAAAGGATTAAGGTATCCCCACCAGGTAAAGAATTATGACCAGCTGAGGCACTGGCTGAGGGCAAAGGGAGTATGGAATGGGTAGTGGAAAGGGAGTTATAAACCAGCTATGATCACATGCCCAATTGCAGAAATAATCATTATAATTGTTATGAGTATTTCTTCCTTATTTTGGTATGAATATGTTTGTATATATATTAAAAAAAATTTTGTTTTCCTCCTCTTTTCCCTTTTCATCTAACATATTATATCAGTCAGATATATTAATAATATAAGAGTTAACTTTGTTTTTAGTGAGGAGGACTAGCCCTGAGCTAACATCCATCACCAATCCTCCTCTTTTTTTTTGCTTGAGGAAGATTAGCCCTGAGTGACCATCTGTGCCACTCTTCCTCCACTTAATATGTGGGATGCCTCCACAGCATTGCTGATGAGTGGTGTAGGTCTGCACCCGGGATCTGAACCCGTGAATCCAGGCTGCCGAAGCAGAGCACATGGAACTTTAACCACTTGGCCAAGGGCCAGCCCCAGTAATAGTTAACTTTATATCACACTATTTAGGTTACAGAACATCAAAGCAGAAGAGTGAACATCGCCCAAAGACTCTGCCTCCTCTTGTGAGGAAAGGGTTAGCGTATTTTCAGTCCTAGGCAGAACAGCTGTATCATGTTAGACAGAAGTATGACTTTACTTGGAAATTAAGTTGACAAGGGTGGACTGTGATGGTCAGCTTTATGTCAACTTGGCTAGGCTACAATCTCAGTTATTCAGACACTAATCTGGGTGTTGCCAGAAAGAAGATATTTTATAGCTGTGATTAAAATTCATACTCAGTTGACTTTAAATACGGGAGATTATCTTAGATAATTACTGAATCAGGATAGGCCTGATTCACTAGGTTAAAAGGCTCTAAGAGGAGGTCTGAGGCTTCCCTGAAGAAGAAATACCTCCTGTGGACAGCAGCTCAGCTCACGCCCAAGAGGCCCAGCCTGCCCTTCCTGGAGGCCTGCCTTATGGAACTTCAACTTGCCCAGTCAGCCCCCCGACTGTGTAAGCCAATTCCTAACAACAAATCTCTTAATATTAATCTCTTACTGGCTTCTGCTTCTCTGGTGGAACCCTGACTGATACAGAGGTCAGCAAAACTGTACCTTTCATTCATAAACTGTCGTAGTAATTTCATTCATTCATTTCTCATTTTTTTTACTTTCATCTATGCATGGAGTCAAGTTTATAGGAAGATACTTGTCACTGACATGGTTCTCAAAAAGTAACACAACCTCTAATTTCTTTTCTAAGACTTTCTTTTTCTTTTCTTTTTTTAAAGATTGGCACCTGAGCTAGCATCTGTTGCCAATCTTCTTTTTTCTTTTTTTTCTTCTTCTCCTCCCCAAATCCCCCCAGTACATAGCTGTATATTTCAGTTGTGGGTCCTTCTAGTTGTGGCATGTGGGACACTGCCTCAGCATGGCCTGATGAGCAGTGCCATGTCTGCGCCCAGGATCCGAACTGGAGAAACCCTGGGCCACTGCAGCGGAGCGCACGCACTCAACCACTCGGCCATGGGGCCGGCCCTTCTAAGACTTTTAATAAAAGTATCTACTATATTTTTAAGAATTCCCAGATCCTAAAATGATTCTTCACTAATTTTATAGCACCTACACTAAAAGGTTAAAAATTTAAGTTAACTTAGATCCTAAGTTTCATACAACATGGACCAAATGATCTGCAAAAGCTTAAATCTTTAGGACCTGAATCAAAATTATAGTTCACACAAGACATCCTAAACACACACATTTTAAGTTAACAAAAAATTTGATAAAGACATTTATAAACACTATGTACACTTTATAACATTAAACTGTACTTACTTAACACCATATCTGTCTCTAAACATAATATGGTCCCTAAACGTGCGGTTGACATCAAGGTCTATTTGTCTGATATCAGGTGAACAACCCCGCGCTCTGTGTTTTAATTTCTGAAGAGAAAAGAGAGGGGAAGAAAGTACATTTTTATGGAAATCAGTTGTTGAAAAGTCTATGACAAATAGTAAGATAATTCTCATTTAAAAACTTTTTTTGGTTGAGGAAAATCATTCCTATGGTTCAAAAATGAAAACAACATAAAAAGGTCCATAGTGAAAGGCTTCTCTCTCATCCATGCCCCCATCTCTCACTCCCATCCTCTCCCTCCTCCCACCGCCTCTTTTCCCTCCCATACTGTCAATACATTTGGATTTGAATTTGGGATAGAGCACTTTCTGGAGTTTGCACCACTGAGACCACGTGAAAGTTCTTCACAGTTGAGCCATGCAGTCCACTATGAGTTCTTTTTTCTTTCCAGTACAATATTTTTGCTTCCCTTGGAGTTAATCATTGCCTTGTTTCTTGATTTGCTTCATTTTCTACATACTTATCACTAATTCAGTCCCAAACTCACTTTAAGTTGCATAAATCTCCTCTGGCGATATTTAAATAGAACAGGTATTCTCCCACTTTCAACCTCTTGCAGACATCTCTCCCAGAGCTTTCTGACCTGCTCCAGTCCGGCTGGGTGACCGCTGGGCCTGCTGCGCAGCTGGTGTCTTGTGAGGGGAGGGGTCCCTTTACCATCTGCTAGGCCTACTCCTTTGCTTGGGTCCCCTGTTCCCCAGATCTCACCTCTTCTTTCTTGGTTTCCCTTGCGCTGGAGGAGCACACCTCCAGTAGCTCCTGTGAAAGGGTATATGGAAGATAAATTTTTTGACAGTTTGAACATTTGATAATTCTACCTTCCTATTTAACTTTCTGGCCATTTTAGAATTCTAAGTTGGAAAATATTTTTGCTCAAAAGGCACTTCCTTCACTGTCTTCTAGCTTCCAGTGTTGCCACTCTAATTCTGGTTTCTTTATATGAAATTTGCTTTTTCTCTCTAGAAGCTTATAGGAGTTTCTCTCTCCATGTTCTGAAACTTCACATTTCTGTTCTTGGTTTGGATCTATTTTTATCCACAGGATCAGGCACTTAATGAATGTTCTCAATCTTAAATACTCATACTCACATCTCTTAGTTCTGAGAAATTGTCTTCAGTAATTCCTTTGTCCACTTCTACTCCTCCTCTCCTATGTTCTCATTTTCTCTTTCTGGAACTCTTATTATTACATTGTAGGCTCTCCTGGGCTGTCAATTAATTTTCTTCTATTTTCTCCACTATTTTTCATCTCTTTGACTTTAATCATATACTTTCTGGGAAGTTCCTTCAGTTGCTATTTTCAAACACTCCTCTAGAATCTTTCATTTCTACTATCATTTTTTATATTCATAAGCTCTTTGTTGTTCTTGAATGTTCCTTTTTAGAGCATTCTCTTACTTGTTTTATGGATGTAATATTTTGATCCCTCTGAAGATATTAGTGAGTTTTTTTAAGTTTTCTTCTCGCTCGATAGTCTCTCACAAGTTGCTTTTTTCCATTTGTTCTTGTCTGGTTTTCATGTTGGCTCCTTTCTTCAGATGAATAGTGGCATTTCGTGGTCTGCTTATATTTAAAGCAGAACCCTAAAAAGCCAATGGAAAGCTCTGTGTGCAGACATGGGGCTTCACAACTGTGTCTTCACTGCACAGTGACCTGCTGTGCTGTTTCACTGGGGTTCCCCTGAAGTCAGAATATCTAGATTTGTTTCTTAGGCTGGTCATATTCCCTGGAGAAGGCTCTTCTGATCTCCTGTCTGGAAGACAGGCACTTGGCTGCCAAAACTCCGGGACCCAAATGGAGGAAAAGGCTGGACCGCCCCACCCTCAGAACACTCGATTCCTCTGTGCTTTCTTTACAGCAGCCCTGCCCTCGGCAATGTCTGTGTTCTCTCCAGTTCAGAGGCCCCCTGTTTTATCCTCTCTAAACAGTCATGCTCCAGTCTCGGGCCAGGCTTGGAGTGCGACGAAGGGACTCTAACTGCTTCCGCAATCGACTCTGAACCACTTCTACTGTCTTTAGCTTCACCTCCACTTTCAGAGGTGCCTGGAGTTGGCAATTACCAAGCATTTTGGGGATTTTGAGATGTAAAGCAGGCTGCTTCTCCAGTTTCCCACCGCCAGCTTGGATTTAGTTTTCTCAGGTTCACTAAGTTTACTAAATGTTTGAATTCTGGTTTCCAAAAATTGGCAGCTGTTATCTCTTCTCCCCTTTTCTTATTCCTTGGGGTTTGCCTTATAAAAAACTCTGCTGTCAATTTAGTGGCATTTCAGGGGGAAGGGAGCTAAGAGTATGTTTAATCTCCCAAGTTGAACCAGATGGGAGATTACATGCTTAAGCATAATTAAACATCTATACACATATGTCATATTGACTCATTTACCAAGTACTGATAATATGTATTTCTGCCTCAATCAATACAAAAATATATATATAAAAACATAACTGTTAATTCCTGACAAGCTAAAAATGAAAGAAGTAGGCTCTCTGGAATACGTGTGTGTATGTTACGAGTTTTGTGAGTACGTGTCTATTTGTGTTTTGAGGTGGGAGCTCAGAGAAAGGCAGCTTCTGTAGCTTTTCAAAACATGAAGAATAACCACAGTACACTTCGGAGTTCTGGCGACCAAGGAAGATATTTACACTATTGTGCTAGAATCATATGACCACTAAGACATTATCATATGCTGCCTCTGATGAAAGTCAGTCCAGAGGACGCTACAAAAATTTACCTTTAAAAATAATCATCTGTATGTGTTCTTTAAATATTTTTATATTTACTATATCAATAGATGCAAGAAAGTCAAATAACAATGAGACATAATTAAAAGAACAGGAGAAAGTCGCAGATAAGAGCAGCAGCTCAGGAGCCAGGACAAGTTCACCAATCCGAGAAAAATCTTAGCAGGTTAAGAAAAGGTAGATTTACTCCTACTGAATTCCCACCTTGAAGAGAACAATTTATACTGTATTTGGAGAGGGAGAGTAGGAAGGAGCAACTGGGAAAGGAAGACAGTTTAATGATGCTTGGGAAACTTGTAGTAAAAACAATGTTTATGATAGTATTGGAAATTATAAGCTTGAAAGTATTGATGGGCAAATCATTTCTTTTACTGTTGTTACTGTATGATTGGTTCTTACTAAATGATTCTCTCATATTAACCAGTACCTGGATAATTTTATTCTATGTAGAAAAAGTCTAAAATATAACTGAAAGCACACTTCTACTATTAGCATGTGTACAGGGTTGAATAGGGACCCCCCAAAATTCCTGTCTACCCAGAACCTGTGAATGTTGACTTGATCTGGAAATAGGGTCTTCGCAGATGTAATCAAGTTAAGATGTGATCATACGGGACTAGGGTGGACCCTAAATCCAGTGACTGGTGTCCTTACAAGGGTGAGATACACTCACACAGGGCAGAAGGCCACGTGAAGCGGGAGGGGGAGGCTGGAGTGATGCAGCTCCAAGCCGAGGAACGCCAGGGATGGCTGGTGACCACTAGAAGTGAGGAAGAGGCAAGGGAGGATTCCTCCTTAGAGTCTTGAGAGAGAGCATGGTCCTGCTGACACCTTGATTTCAGACTTCTAACCTCTAGAACGGTGAAAGAATAAATTTCTGCTGTTCTGGGCCACTCAGTTTGCGGTACTTTGTTATGGTGGCCTGAGGAAACCAATACAGCATGCTCAGGAAAAGTAATTTTCTTTATTCATTAATTAAAGAAATATTTCCTGAGTACCTATCATATGCCAGGTGCACTGTACTAGACGCTGGGGTTAGATTTTATACATGTTCTCTCAGACAGCATTTTCAACACTGGCTCTAAAACTATGAGACTAAAAGCAAATATCTAATCAACAAACTAAAATAATTTAAAACTCTAAAATCCTGAGACATAAACTCATAGTCTCCGTAGGGTCCAAACAGCAAATTTTAAAAATCTTTTAGTCACACAAAATAAGTAACTCTTTAAATTAACCAGTATTTACTACCTTTCATCTTGATTAAATTTTATAAAATATGTATATATACATATATACATGAAAGAGAAAATATCAAGAGTATTCCAAAGCCCCTTTTATAATTGGTATTGGGTTTCGATGATAAATAATTTTTCTTTTATCCATTTTATTCTATTTTAATTTATTCTATTTATATACATTTCCTATTTCAAAATGATTTTTAGATATAAGCTTTTTATTTCTTTTAAAGGTTAATATAAAATTTAGGTCTAGAAAAGGTATAGCTGAGATGACAACGAGGTAAACAATGCATTAGCTAATTTTGGGAAAGTATTACTCATCACTGAGTGAAAAGTTGTTAAATAGAAAGTTATTTTTATTAATAAATAATAAAACCTAGAGATACCCTAATAATCTTGGAAGAAAATGCTCCTTTTTCACACTTAGAACGAAACATTTAATCACATACAGGCAGCAGGTGAATAAACTGAATTCTGCTGTTATTTTCCCATAAATTCTAAAAGTGATACTATAGATCTCTTTATTAATACTACATTTCAAATGAGCAGCTACAATCAGTCAATTTTCCTCACAAATATGTTCCAACATTGATTGATTATTTCAAGTATTTGAAAAGCAATCTATGCTTACTGATTCATACAGAAAATACTATTTTTACTGAAGTATTTGTTTAAAATTTAGGAAGCAAGTTGCAATAAACAAAACAATCAAGAAAAAGATAATAGGTCTATAAAACCCAATGTCATATAATTTTAATATAACTTCAAATGATACACATATCTAACATCACCTTGAAAGCTAAAGAGATAGATTTTACTTTTCAATTTCAAAATAACAGGTTGGTTTTAGATACTCACACTGTAAAGGTCTCTCGTTTCTTCTTTCATTTTAGGGATCTCCAGGAGTAGAGCCCAGACTTCACCTCTGAGCTGGAGTGGGATTCCTTTGTAAATTCTCCTATGAAACTGATCAAAAGAAATATAAACTGAAGGTTATAAACTGATAAAATTTAGACTAGTCCCTTAAACCAAACTAATGAATGTTAGTCTTTTATTTTCAAAGCATCCAAGATAACTGATACATTGTAACATGGCACATTTGGATCCTATCATCTCTACTTCTCAGATCCTAACAGGGAGATAGATACAAAGAAAGGTGGAATAAACAAATGAGAAAATGTTAGGAATGCCTAGTACATTAGTATTTTCATTCTACTACAAAGGTACTCCTTAAGTAGCATGAAAGCATAATCAGGGCTCTTTTTTAAGTTGTGAACATTTGATTTACACTTTCCCTGTTGACATAATTAACTAGTTCCACATTTCTTCCTATTTCCTCATCCGACTAAAAGGCTCCAAATAGCAAAAAGGTTGCCATGTGCCAAAAGTCTCTTCATGGAGCGTAGAGGGCTCTAATCGGAATCTCTTTCCCAACACCTTCTCTCTGGGGCTCTCTAGAACATATCAAGCTCTTTCCCTTCTATCTCATAACTCAGTTAATTCCACCCACACCTTCAGTTCTCTCTCTCACACATATACACACTCACTCTCCCTCTTTCCTCTCCTCTTTTCAATTCTTGACAGTTTCTTCAGGAAAATCTGTATCTTTTTCTTACACTGATCCTATCTGATCAGATCAAAATGGCAATAAATCGAAGCCAACCCTGTGGCATAGCAGTTAAGTTCAGCAAGCTCTGTTTGGTGGCCTGGGTTTGTGGGTTCACATCCAGGGCATGGACCTACACCACTATAGTCAGCCATGTGATGATGGTGACTCACATACAAAGTGGAGGAAGATTGGCACAGATCTTGGCTCAGGGCTAATCTTCCTCAAGCAAAAAAAGAGGAAAAGTGGCAACGGATGTTAGCTCAGGCTAATCTTTCTCAGCAAAAGAAAAAAAAAATACTAGTAAGTCTTCATCAAGAAGGAACACCACCACTTTTGAAAGAAATGAGGCATAAATCATCAGTATTATCAACTCTTTGGGTCCTTGAAAGTATACTGCTGCCACTCAAGAATCCTAAGACTCAATATACTTCTTGTTAATTCTAATTTTTTCCTCAAGGCTAATTATTCAAAATAACATACGGACCTATTACAGTCATTACAAAGTTGTGCATAATAAAACTTTGAAACTTAAAAGCAGATGTCCAAACAAGGAAATGATTAAGCAAATTATGGCAGAAATCTTACGGAGGTAAGACTAGGTACACAATTACCTATACAATTAAAATAGTATATTTAAATAGTATGGTTAAGAAAGTAAGATGCAAGTTCTAATAATTGAAATGCTGACGAGCTATGAACCAACAAGCAGAACTTCAAATTCTAGTATTATACTACTTAGATTTTTTAAAACCAGATCTTTAGTAACTAAGTCACGATGTAGCTTTAAGAAATTTTGAGTATGTGGTTCAAATGAGTGACACTGTAGAACAACTTTTATTGTGAAACAATGAACACTGTGAAGTTGATTCAATTAGATAATTACATAATTTCAGTTCTGTTCTTTTGGTATAAACATAATATGCCTCAAGTTTGACATTTCAGCAGATAGTGACTAGAATCATCAAAATTTTAACTCGTGCTGTAGCTCTAACTGGAAGAATCTAATACAGAAAGGCTCTGTGTAAATGAGACTGCTACTTGCAACATTTCCCATGTACTAAACACTTAGCACCATTAATTGCAAACTGAGTACAGTAAAAAAAACAAGAGAATTTAAGATTTATTTTCCTAAAGAAAGTCTGTCATTTCTATTCATCTCAAAATTATAATACATAGCACTTTTTAGTGGACTATCATCCACTAAAAGTAACTTCAAATTATCTCCTAAATTTCTAGAATAAATATGCTGTACTGTAAACATCTGATAAAAATACATCAGAAACTGTGGAAATTATTGCAAATGTGAAAAGCGAATTGTACTAGTCAAGTAGAATAAGATGGCAGGTAAACAGATTAACTTCCATGGACCTGAATCTCCATTAGACTAATGTTTTTCAATGAGTAAAATAAGAGCTCTGAATTATATTTCTTGAAGTATATTACTTGAAAAGACTTTAGACATCATTTTATTGCTTTCATTCAACTCTGTATTCAACAATTATATATAAATTGCTGCCCATTATTCATCCTGAAGTTAAATCCAAAATTAAAAAATCAGTTGAATTACTATGATTAAATTAAGAAGAAATAATAGAAAGCTTTCAGGTAGAAATAAAAAGTCAATGGTCCCAGTGCCACTCCAGGACTAAAATGAAAAGTGAGGCACATATGGAAAAGAGTGACAAAGGAACACTGCTGCAAGGTCACTGTCATCATCAACAGCAACAATTACAGCCAACTTTCACTGAGCATTCACTATGTACAGGAGACTACCTGAAGCTATTTACAGATATTTATCTCATTTAATCAAATCAACAACTCTATGAGACACTACTACCTCAATTTTACAGCTGTTGAAAGTGAATCACACAGAGGTACAATAATTTGCCCAAAGCCACACACAAGATGCTATCAGTTAGTAAAACATACTGATTTTACTTTTTAAAAAACACAAAGACCATCTTTCCAAGACCATGATGCATGTAGTATCCCTTGTTCTGCTCAACTGGACTTACTGAAATACGTGGAACAGAAAATATGAAGGAAATCCAAGAGTAGGAAGCATTAAAATAATAATACGATTGCACTTAAACCTTAAAAGAAATATGAAAAGGGATGTATCTGGAATTCAAGCTGTAGGAAATAACAAAATGAAACATGTACACAAAGTCACGCATAGTAGAAAAAGAATTAAATTATGAGACCCTAAAATCCAAATTTTAAGTTATGCTTATTGTTTTTCAAACACTTATACTGTTGTGTGACGGACTGACATCATGGTACCATAACTTTCCTCACAAATTTTCAACTGCCATAGAAATTTTGGAAATTTTGTAAAGCAAAGCAGGAATTATACCAAAGCACAACAGTTATAACAAAATTTGCGTACTCTCCAGAACACAGTTCAGTAGTCCAGTTTACGTTTGTTGAGAATCTTTCCACTGACAAAGTAGTATCCCATATTTTCTATAACAATCCGTAATGCAGGCTGAGCGAGTGCTGTTCCACTTTAAATGGAAGGAAACCAAGGCGCAGAGAAGCAGCTTGCCTAGGTCAAAGAATTCCATCTTCTCACCTCTACTTTAGGCTATGTCTACCAAATCACACTGCCTCTTAGAGATCACAGCTTTAGTAAAGCAGCAGTATTTATCCGCAGAAGGTGATAGCTGTTCCACCCAACGCACAAAGGAACACCATTCACTCATTCATTCATTCTGAAAAGAAACGTTGTAATGACTGCCTACTTTGTGGTCCACTTACTGGGTAAACGGCTACAAACATGAAAAGTTCCCTGGGCGCATAGTGCAGCGGGGAAGATAAATATGTAAGCAGATAATTATAACATAAAAAGACAACCCTTAATAATAAAACAAAGTCACATACACCAATTGCTATCAGAGCTGAGCACCACATCCTGATGGCAGAAGTCGTGAAGGAGATAGACTCCCCAGAGGCGGGCCAGGGCGGTGAAAGGGGAATGGTAGGCACTACACCGTCTAGAGCCACAGGAACGGTATCAAAGGGCAGCTGGCCTTATGTAGCAGGACGCACGAGATCCTAAGAGGGAACCCGAAAAACTCTAGGGATAAAGGTGTTGGGGGTGAGAGCAGTGAATCTGCTGTGCTGGTCACTTTTTACTGGTCCAACAGAGTGGCTCTCATCCTGAGACTGTTAGAGATGCTATAATGGAAGAAAGGAGGAACGAATTCTACATGAGAGAGTTAGGAAAGATTTCCTTTAGAGAAGATGACAATAAATTCAATACTGAAGGAGACGTAGGAATTTGCCAGGAAGGCCAAATGAGGGCAGGTATGAGGATAAGGATAAAGATGAATCAATAGTAATAACAATGTTAATAACAGTCAACACTAAGATTTTCTGATTATTTATTAGGGGCTGGCATATGTGTTTCTAGATCAATTTATTCCAATATTATTACATTCCTAAAGAGGTAGGTACTATTATTATCATGCCCATTTTACGGATGAGAAAATTAAGACGTAGAAAGGTAAACCAACTAGCTCAAAGTCATACAACTGTGGAAGAAAAACTGAAATTCAGTCAGTCTGACTTCAGAGATCACAGTCTTAACAACCATGATATAGAATGTCTATGGCTGGATTTTAATGACATTTTAATATTGAAATTTGAAAATCAGTATCTTTAAAATTCTACTACAAATTTATTTTATAGATAATATAAAATCTTGAAAGAATAATAAATTAAGGTTGCCTGAAATCTACCTTTTGCTTTCAGTATCTTTGTTCACTTGCCAATAGAATCAAGCAGTCTATTTCAGTCACACAGATGCATTTAAAAATCCATCAACTAAAAAAAAATTCCATCAACTGACAAAGATTTTCAATACTTCTAACCTTAGTGATTTCAAAATGGTGATAAATGTGCCAGTCCACGTCATCATGGCTGCCAGTGAGCAAACTTAGTCCAGCAAGTTTGCCCCACCTCTGTGGAACTTTCAAAAGTGCAAGCGTTCGCCACGAAATAAACGTCCACTCTCTGAGCTGTTATGCTCTTTCCTGCCCCTTCATTTCCTTCAATCATCCCTGTTCCACTGGCTCCTTTGTCTCTGCCTCCAAATAGGCATGAGTCTCCTGATCTGAAACAGTCTTAAACCATCCACAAGGCCCTACTGCCTCTTATAAGTGCATTCTATTTCCTTCTGACCTTCTATTGACAACCACCAAAAGGGAAAGCCAGGCTAAAAGATGGTACAATAAACAAGCCCTGGAGTCTGGATGTGGGATCTCTTTCTTATCACTAACAAGCTGTATGGCCTTGGGAAATTTATTTCTAAACATTGTGCCTCCATTTTCCCATAAGTAAAACAAAATGTTGGCTAATATGAGTCCATTAGTTATTTGACCAACAACAACAAAAATATATGTATCTAGACGAATGGATAAAGAAGATGTGGTACATATATACAATGGAATACTACTCAGCTGCAAAACAGAACAAAATCATTCCATTTGCAATAATACAGATGGACCTTGAGAGAATTATGTTAAGTGAAATAAGCCAGCGAGAGAAAGATAATCTGTGTATGACTCCACTCATATGAGGAATTTAAAACTATGGACCAAGAACAGTTTAGTGGATACCAGGGGAAAGGTGGGGTGGGGGGTGGGCACAAAGGGTGAAGTGGTGCACCTACAATATGACTGACAAACATTAATGTACAATTGAAATTTCACAAGATTGTAACCTATCAATAACCCAATAAAAAAAATATATGTATCTATTGTAAGTACTCTGCGAGACATAGCTTAGACACAATCATATCATGACTAGTTAAATCATACAGGTCTCCAGTTAGCAGAGATAACGTCACTTCTTAGTTTACAACAGACTATATTTTAAAACTGCAATACTACTATACATAGGTGGCAGTGAGAACTGAGTCACAGTGTTCACTGTGACAACACACAGACAACACAAACAACCTTAATGGAAACTTTTTTCACTTTAAGCTCATATTCCAAAAGTCCAAATATTCTCTATCAGAGTTATATTTTTATTTCAAGATATTTTTAGAAATTTCTTTGTATTACTACTCTATAAGTAAGGAATCTACGGAGGGAAAAATTACACTACCTCTTAGAGGACAAGAAAGTATACACTACTTTTTCACTTAATGCAATTGAAAACTAGGTATGAAGTGAAAGCAGCAATTCTTTTAGACAGTGCATTCTGTTTTACACTGAATTGAACCATATATATCATCAAATAATTCTAGCATTGTAGTTGTGGAAAAGTGCTTTGAAATTATACATCAAAGAAGTAGTGTTGTTAAAATCTCTCTTAATGGGAACTACATTAGCCAGAGTTGCTGTCAGAATAATAGCCTAGCAGAATTGCTCATTTTTATAGAGGCTTACATACTCTCATAGATATACATATACTAGAGAAGAACATCAAGCCATAAAATTCTACAAATGTTTCATTAGACTGAATGTGAGAATAAAGCGTAAGTACAATGCACTGAAATTTATCCTGTAATTACCACTTGAGCAATCTTTCCACAAAGACATAAGGTAAAGTAGCTGTCAACTTGGGCCAGTCTGAGAGACAGCAAATATGAAACAAGAGTACAGGTGTTGTAACTAACATTCTACTTTGAACTGATTCCTCTTAAAAACATCTTGAGTTCTAACCCAGTGCTAAAATATACAGACGATAAAGTCAGCAACACAAAAAATGAACTCGCTCCTAAGGAAAATAAAATAAGAGTCTAACAGACTTTAAATAAGGATATTTAGGATGCTCAAAAAGAAAAGTGATGTTAGTCCTGAGAGATCTCCCATGACAAAACGATTTCTGTGGTTGAGTAAATGTCATGCAATTTAAGGTCCTTCGTAAAAATTTCTACCACATGTTATAACGTTAAAGATTCTGAGGAGACTTGTAGTATGTAAAGCTTGCTTCACTCTGTTCAGCTCTAATTTTCCCAATTTTATTTAACCAGAGAGCCCTTTTCTCATGCAATAACAAGCAACACTTATTGACCGCACACTAATTGTCAGGCACTGTTCTATGCGCCTTACATGAATTAACTTATTTAATCCTCAAAATGATTCTCTGAGGCAGGTATTATTATTATCCCCATTTTACAGATGAACAAACTAGGGCAGAAAAAGGTTAAATATCCTCTCCTAGGTGACACAGCTAGTAAAGTGACGGAGCTGGAGTTTGAAGCCAGGATAGGCTGGCTCCAGCATCTGTTGCTTAACCACTAGGCAATACTGCTTCTATGTGATAGCCATTAGAACCCAAGGAAGTGACGCTCCCTGGAATTCTTCTTGGCAAATGCTGACATAGAACAATTTATATCTATGCAAAACGGGAAAAAAAATATTACTGAGAAAAGAAGTGTGAGGAAACAAACCAAAATCCTAGTTACCTCAGTTGTGTTTTGCTGTCCAACTACGGAAGATTTCTTTTTTCCATTAAACTTCACTGTCCAGCCTTCCTTCGAAAAGCCACTGGTGGTAGCTAACATTTACTGAATGCTTGCTGCATGGAAGGTTCGATGCTAAGTGCTTTACAGGCGCTAAATCATTACATCTCCAGCCCTCTGATATGGCTATTATGATCCCCATTTTACAGATGAGGAACCGAAGCTTAGATGTCAGCAGTTCTCAAAGCATGGTCCACGAGGTCAAAACTATTTTCATAATAATACTAAAATGTTATTGCCGTTCTCTGCTGACTTTGGCACTGACAGTAGACAAGCAATGCTGGTGAAACTACTGGCACTCGGGCAGAAATCAGACAGGAGTGGGACCACGCCAGCTGTCACTGTGTTCTTCTCTCACAGTTTAAAGAGAGTAAGCTTCACTTACGAATGCCCTTGAAGAAGCAGTAGAAATGATTACCTTTATTAAATCTCAACTCTTGAAAACACGTCTCATTAACACTGAGACGAAATGGCAAGAACACACAGAGTCCTTTTGCTGCATATGCAGGACAGTGTTGGCCTCAAGAAAAAGCACTTATTGAACTGTTTGAATCATGATCTGAACCAACTGCTTTTTTCGTGGAATACCGTTATTACTCGAAAGAACAACCGACTAACCAACCATGGTTGTTCAGATTTAGGTATTTAACAGACGTTCTCTCAAAAAACAATGAAGTTCGCCTGTCACACTAAGGAAAATAACTCACAGTATCTGTTGCCACTGGTAACATTTGACCTTTCAGGCAAAAATCAGAATTTTGGAAAACTTCCACCACTATGAACTTCACAGTTACCAATAGTTAAAGGCCTTTCTTATAAGATTGGTGGTGATATTAATAGACGTGTATATTTTTTTTTAACTGGTTTAAGGCTTAGCACAAACTCAATGCAGGGCAAAAAGACTTAACAGGAAGTTTGCTGGAAGCTTTTGAAAAAGGAGATTGGCTCCTGCGTCAGGGAAAGCTTTTGGAGGCCAGCCCTCTCTCTCCTTCCGAGCAGTGTGAATGTGGATATGACGCCCAGAACCACTGCAATGATTTTGATCCCAAAGGGAAGCCCACCTCAAGATGAAGTTGCCACTGCAGAAGGCAGTGAAGAGAGATGGAAAGAAACTAAGTCACAGGCAGCATAACCAACTAGATGAATTAAACCACTCCTGAAACCCATCCTACCTCTGGACTGCCCAATGCATCCTCTTAATTGTCCAAACCAATTTGAGTTGGCTATTCTGTTATAAAGACCCCCAATTTGAGGCACCCCACTAAATTAAATTAAACTAAAATTTTAAAAAAGAATATGAATGTAATACTATTATAATCAAAGAGAAACTTTTAGTGAAAAAATCCACAGTGAACTTGTATAGTTTCATCAGGAAGTAACATTATTTTTAATTACCTTTTCAGTATTCTTGTATTTTTCCCATCCTTTCAGCATTTTCAACCATTTTGTAGTTCTTTCAATTTCCAGGTGCTTTTGCTGAAATAAAATTGAAATTCATTGTTACTATTTACTTGAGGCTTCTTTACTTACAAATTACAAAAAATGTCAAAGAAAATGTTGTTAAAAAAAGGACTACTAAGAAAGTTAAGCTATATTAGATAGCAAATATCTTATCTAGCATTTTACAGTTGGACGATATTACAGTTGTATCGACCAGTATTTCATAGGTAAAGTTAAGATACACAGGAGATGCTCCACTGGGATAGGTAAAGAGAAAGGAATTGTTTAAGTGTGCCAACACTTTTAAACTAATCACTGAAAATGTTGTATATTCCACAAATCTAAACAAAAAGGAAATTTTAAAATATTTTGAAATATTTTTTATGAAGCAACAAAAACACAACTTCAAATTCCATTCTCTTTTTCACATTTTACTGAATTCCAGCATCTCAATGTTTTCAGTGACAGAGTTGGTTTTTTAAAGAAGAATTGGGCATTTATTTATTTGTGAAGTGATTGATATATAACCAGCACTATGCTAGTGAAAATTACACAAAAATAAATAAATAGTTGCTACCCTAAAGAAAGTTCACCATCTGCTAGGGGCAACTGACATGGAAATCGACAGTACTGTGACGGATGCTACGACACAGGGACAGAAAGGGTAATAGAAGGTCTTGATGGAAGAGCAGTCAAATCCACCCAGGCAAATCAGAGAAGATGAGCCCTAAATGAAGAACTGGAAGATTATTAGGGTTTTTATCTAGAGCAGTGTGGGAAAGAACATTCTAAGCATGGGTAGGTGCAGTGTTGAGATAATTCCGCTCAGCAAGGGCCTAAAAAAGGCAGCATCAGGAGACGAGGCTGAAACATAGGCATGGGCGGAGGTCTTGGATGTCACACTAAATTGGGATTTGGGCAAAGCTGGAGAGTGGGGAAGGTGGTAGAGAAAATGCTTCTTCCTCACTTCTTCGGTTTCCAGCAAGGATATTTTTTTCCTAAGTACTTGGGCCTGCTGTCCAATCTCTTATTCACTCCTAAGGCGGTAGAGTGACTTACCTGATTAGTAAATTTAAAAAAAGAACTGAGCATGTACAGTCCTCTGTCCCTTTTCTTGGGAGCCTGACTACCCTCAGAAAGCACGCTGCACTCCCTCCTTTCAGGCAAGAAAAAACACCCTCTTCAACCGAGAAGCCTGCAGTGATCTCCCTGTCTGTGACCAGGTAAGGGAGCCTGTCTCCTTCTGGGGTTCGGGATTCGGAAGGCCACTGCTCGGGCACACCTGACCTACACTCCCCCAACCACTCTCTGCTCCAGGAAGGCTGGGACATCTGCTGTTTCCCCACTGCCTAGAGCAATCCTGGGCTCAGAGGAGGCTCCTAATTCATTATTTCATTTTCATGAGAACAAAACCCACCATAATTCTTTCTTAGGAGTGAGCTGAGATTATGCTAATTTATTAATTTTCCTCAATCCCCAGATTTTCTTTTCTGGAGGCCTCTGTAAGTGTAATAAGTATATGAAGAGAAAGCAACGGAAATGGAAGACTACACAGGAAAGAAAATAGTTCTGAGGATACATTTTATGGTCAGAATGTACGCTCACGACAGCCCTATGAGGCAGGGATAATCACCCTCACTTCACAAATAAGGAATGAAGCGATCTGTCTAAATTCCCCAACCGAGGAAGTTCAAGTTTGAACAGGGGTCCACAGCTGGGCAGTGTGGCCTCGGGACCTGCACTCTTAGCCACCACGTCTTGTGTCTCCTGCTTCCATCACGCCCCTGCGCTGGCTCAGGCAATCACAGCTCCTGGGTGAAGGCAAGAGCTCCTTACTGACTGTCTTCAATCCAGCCTCAGGCAGATGGCGTATCCCCACCAACAATATTTTTAGATTTAAAAGAAGTATAAAATCCCAAAGAAAACCCTGAATTTAGGAGAAGATTCTCACTAATAAGAATATTTTTATAGAATTTTATTTTTAGGCATATTCTTAAAACTCTTTAATTACTTCTTAACTCTTTGTACAAATTTTGATGGGCTTTGCATAATAAAAGATGATCGCTTGTGAGCAAAAGATATTCTGTTATAATTCCCATTTTTCAAAGGACTAAGCATATTCTTCATTATATTATTAGTGATAAAATGTTGCAGATGGTTCCAGAAATATGTTTAATTTTAAAACTCAGTGGGGCACTGAAATCTAATTAATGTTTCTGCTAAATGTGACTTCAGAGAAGGCCAAGCTGTGAAAAATTAAGATTGATCTAAGTTGCCATTTGGTATTTTTTGTTCTTCTGCACTTCCTTCCCTGACTTCTTCAAAGCATAATCCCTTCCTCCACCCACAGGAAAACACCAAATAATTCAAGCCAACCCAGGAGCATAATAACATACACGCTGCTGGGAACAACCCTGCTGAGACCTACCAGGTCTCTTGCTATCTTTCATTTTTATAACTATGAATTATCAATGAATCACTTTAAGAAGTATTTTTTAAAAGAACACTTTTGTATTCTAATGCTTATCATATATATAAATTATTTTAAATGCTACACATTCTCACATGCAAGGATAAAACACACCCAATTTTAAGAACCATTAAGCATGCTTTTCTTTCCCCTACAGCTTTATATACAGTTTTATATATATACAAAAACCTTGGGAAAAGCTCCCAGGCTGTTAAGATCTTAAAATTACCTATCAGTAGTTCAAATCAGGTTTAAATGTTAACTCCACAATGCTGCCAGTTCAACCACACCAGACTTGAATGCATGTGTCTTTTTTTTCCTCCACTCATGAATCTATAATTCATGGATAAAACTATACTTTATCTCCAAACATGCTACAGCTAATGATTCCAGAATTTATTCTGAAGTAAGAAGTAACCGAAAACAGATGTGACAAATGTGAACTTAAGTGCTTTAGAAAAACAGATGAAGGAACATCATATCTTGCCATGGACTCGGTAACACCAAAACACACTAAAATATAACAGCAAGTTAGAATCTCAACCTGGAAGTTCAGCAAATGTTTCCAACTCAACATGTCTGAAACTATTTCCCTAAACATGCCACTATTACCCTTCTTTTCCCTAACGTGAATTCACAGCATCACTACACACTAAGTCAATCACACTAGAATCTTAAGTTGTTTTCAGTCTTCCCTTTATCTTCCTTGCCACACCCAGACTACACCCCACTGGCCCCCTCCACATCTCTTGTTTCCATCACGTCCTCTGCCCTAGTTCTGACAATCCTAACTCCTAGGTGGGCAGAAACTCCTTACCGGTGGCCCTAACTTTAATCCAACCTCCACAAAAGCTTCAGCTTTTTAAATGCATCCCAGTTTAAAATCTTCCAATGGCTACCCGTTATCTATGAATAAAGTTCAAACTTCTACATGGATGACCCTTCACAATATGGCCCCAATTCACCATCCAGTTTCACTTCCTGCTGCTTTTCTGATCTGGCCACCTTGAACTATGTGTCATTCCCAACACACATGTATTTCCACGCCTCTTTGACAAATGTTTGCTATTCGTCTGCCTGTGATACTCTTCCTCACCATCATTTGGCAAAATCCTACGCATCTTCTTAAGACCCAGTCAAGGGTTTGGAACTTTTCCCAAATGCTTCCATGCTCCAAGCAAAATAAACTGTTTCTTCAGCATTTCATGGCATGGATTAAGGACTCAGTTGGCCTGAGTTCAAATCTGAGCTCTGCCCCTTCCTATCTTTTTCATTTGGGGCAAGTTACTTAATCTTTCTGCATCTTAGTTTTCTTGTCTTTTTATAAAATGAGAATTATTATGATTATTGTTATAGCACCTAATACTTGTGTTTTAGTTGGCCTAAGTGCCCAAATATAATAATTATTATTATTAAAGTATGAACTCCTTGAGTACAGGAATCATATCATATATTTCCCATTTAATCTTATCAAACAAAACTGTAGTTGTTATATAAGAAAAGTTAAATAAACATTTTAAAGTTAAACACAGTTTACATAAGAAAAGACACATAAACAGTACTAGGAAGCCATTAATAGTATTCTGTGGTCCCAGAGGTAGAGGAGTGGGAAGGAAAATGAATATGAATAGACAGACCCAAATCATAAATACTCTTGATAGTATTTCAATCATTATAACATGGAAGTAACCAGAAGTGAATTATAATAGTATCTCTAATGTAACATAATGCTAGAAATGATATCATCTCATTATGTTGGCAACACTTTTCAAAATGCTGCCACAAGGCAGGACTACTGATGTTAGAAATCCATACAAGATTGATATTAAATAACTCTACTGACCTTATACACAGACATCCTACTTTTCCCAATTTTTATTTTGAAATATTTCAAACCTACAGAAAAGTTGGAAGAACAGTGTACCATATACTTATATATGCTTCACCCAAATCCACCAATTATTAACATTTTGCTAGCTTTCATCACCTATTTAGATTGGTTTTTTTTTTTTGGCTGACCTATTAGAAAATCACAGACATCATGAGCATTTCATCTCCAAATATTTCAAGTACATATCACATAAGAACAAGACACACTATCCTACATAATCACAGTATCACTATTACACCCAAGAAATTTAAAATTTGTTCATTATTTTGAAATAAACAGCTCATCTACCAAAATTCCCACTTGTCCCAAAAGTGTTCTTTATCGCTGTTTTTCTTTGGGGGGGCAGGAGGGACTCAGAGTCCAATCACGGATCATGCATAGCCTTTACTGGCCCATCTCTTTAGGTGCCTCCACTCTAGAAGAGTTCCCTGGCCTTTTTTTAACTTTCACGACATTGTCATATTGGAAGAGTCCAGCCCACACTATTTGGCTCTAACTGTTTCCACTAGATTTTGGCAGGAGTATTACAGAGGTGATGATGTACCCTTCCCCTGGCATCACATCCAGAGACGTACCATGTCGATTTGTACCACTACCAATGACATAACTTTTGATCCCCTGGTGAAGTGGTATTTGCCCAACTTCTGCATTAATTAATAGAGAAATTCCCTTTTG